ATCAGCGTGATACGAAACATGACCATACATATTATGAATTTGTTAAAGTAGTATAATTCTTCAAACTCTAAACACAAAATTGTAACAATATTTATTTTATCATAAATTGTAGTTTTATTCCTATTGTTTTTATTTCTATTATTGTTTTTATTTTTATTCATATTATTATTCTTATTGTTTTTGTTGTTTTTATAATTGCTATCTTCGCTGTCATATAATTCAAAGCAATCTGATCGTCATTAGCATCGTTATAAATGTCATCCTCATCTTCATCGTCGTCGTCATCACCACCATCATCACCTCCATCATCACCACCATCACCACCACCATCCTTACCATCATCATCATCATCACCACCACCATCATCATTATCATAATCAACGTCATCATCATTACCACTTTTATCATCAACAACATCTTCATTGCAGTTGCAATCTTCATCAAATATTAATCATAATAATAATAATAAACCATTATTTCTCGCCTGGTTCAAAAGTTTTTTTTTGCTTTTTCAATTTCGAAACGTCAAATAAATGCTTAAAGGATATCTATTATGAAAATGAAGTATGAGAGGCTTAATGGTGATGATGATGAAACTGTTGATAATGATGATGATTATGCTGTTGTTGTTGTTGATGTTGCTGTTTGTTGTTGCTGCTGGGGCTGATGAAGATAACGATGTTATTGTTGTTGTTAATGATGATGATGATGGTGATGACGATGATAATGTTTATGACGTTGGTGAAGTTGATGTTGATGAAGAAGAAGATAATTGCGGTGATGTTGGTGATGCTGCTCCTGCTACTACTACCAATACCACTACTACTACTACAACAACTACTAATACTACTACTACTACTACTACAACTACTACTACAACTACAACTACTACTACTATTACTACTACTGCTACTACTACTACTACTAATACTACTACTATTGCTAGTAATGTTAATAATTCATTAAAATAATAATTAAAATAAAAACAAAAAATAATAATAATGGCACAAGCGGAAATAGCGATAATTACGGAAAATTTAAACACGGGCGATAATGACAGAGTTAATGATGATAATAGAGGCTGAGTGTTCTAAATGGAGCGTAATTCGCGCGCCAAGTTGGAAAAAAAGCCGCCAAATGTATTTTTGCGAAAAAAAGACGCGCGCTTGTCTGGTACATTACTTATGTATTAATTTCGAGAGTTCTTTCAATGGCGTTTATATATTTAAGGGAGAAGAGAAAAATTTATCTGATACCTTTTTGACACATTACACGCATTTGTAAGGGTTAGGATAATAATAATAATAATTAGATAATGTGAACTCTCTTTTATTTCTAGAAAAACATGAAATATAGTAAAATGAGATAAAAATCTAATTAAAATCTAATTAAATAAAATAAATAAATTGATTTAAATTAAATTAAATACAATAGTATTCTACGATGCTCATCATTTGAAATAAACGAGTACAACGAGATATGGTTAGTTTTAAACGAACAGTTCAAGTGTTATTGCGTTCACTGTAGATAATAATAATAATAATAATAATAATAATTAAAACAGTAATATTAAACGCAATAATCATCATTTCATTCCTATGTTTATATAATGCAATTAAGTATTTTTTGAAAAATTTTGGTGAAAATTTGAAGTCTGTAATATAATTAGTGTTTATTTTGATATTTAGAAATAAGTGTTTGTTGGCAAATTTGTATTTATCATTTATGTTGATTTAATTCATTTATGGTGAATTAATTCATTTATGTTGAATTAATTCATTTATGATGAATTAATTCATTTATGGTGAATTAATTCATTTATGGTGAATTAATTCATTTATGATGAATTAATTCATTTATGGTGAATTAGTTCATTTATGGTAAATTAATTCATTTATGATGAATTAATTCATTTTTATTTGCGTGTGAAGTTCTTCGCGTGTTGGCAGAGGTACTTAGTGCCAGCCAGCCAATAGGATATAGGGACTTATAAAATGACATGATCAAAAAAGCTTTTAAAATGATGTATAGGTGAGTGCGTTCCAGCATACCGATGCCCTGCACTGCGTCGTATGTGTTCACGAACTGTCCGTCTGTCTGTCAACATGTGTCTGTCTGTCTACATGTGTCTGTCTCGCTACGTGTGTCTGTATACCTACGTGTGTCTGTATCGTGTCTGTCTGGCTGAACTTGTGAATGTTTTTTACGTATCAATAAAATAATTAATTGCTATTAATTAATTGAAGTAATTAATTACTATTAATTCATTATAAAAAATATTTGCAAAAAACCCTTTTAATTAAATTTGTTCAAAAAACTTCATTTTAAAAATTGTTATTACTTTGAATCATTGGAAACTTTTTAAAAACTTTTCAACCTACTTGAGACATTTTCAAACTCGCTGGCCTGCCCGCGCCACTTGAAATTTATATTTTTCACATCATTCGTTTATTATTTTTCTACAGTTTTTCTTCATATTTCAACGCATCGAGCCATTTTATGCGCGTCAATATGTGAACATTTTGGTTGCAGTTTTTTGAAGAAGTTAGGTGTCTGATTCTAGGTGTTTTGGATATGTGTCTCTTACCCTTACACAGGAATGAATAGGACAAATATATTTTAGCTTTCTATCTTTGAAATTTTTAAAAGGAACATTGCTCGCTCATTTGCATTTCATTAGAAGTAGGCGTATGAGTGTGTTTGTGCACGTGCGTGTGTGTTTGTGTATGTGCGTGTGTGTTTGTATGCGTGTAGGTATTGTTTTTACCACCATAATCATTGTCATCGTCACCATCATCTTCATTTTCAAAAGCACCATGTTTTTGATCATTTCTTTGAATATTCATAAGAGGTTTTATGATCAATTAGTAATAATAAATTAACTCGATCCGTGATGTTCACTATTTCAAGATGTTTCAAGATGCTCATAGTATTAATTTTATTCGTGCAGAACATCAGTAGAGTTGGAATAGTTTGAAAAGTTAATCCACTTACAATTAATAAAATGAAACAACACCAAAGAAAATTTTATTCCAAAATAATCTAAACGGTACATCTCTTCGATTCTCTTTATTGTACTTTTGGTTTCGCATCTCACACCTTCAAGATGTCCCTGGATTACAATATGTGATAAATTGTTTCAGATTGGAAAATTCGTCTTTTTGTTTCGCTCGGATAGAATGTTTTAGAATTTTTGCTTAGCCCAAAAATGTTCTCAACTTGAATTGATGCCTCTGCTTCTGATATCTCAACTTGACTAACTTCAGGCACGATCAATCGTTGAAATGAACAATGGGAGGCAGAATGTTCGTGACGTGGAAGTTTTCAATTCCAAGTATTGTTGTGTAGCTCGTGCTTTGGTGATGTCATCTGGAAGATTAAAGTCCTGACATTTTAAATTTTTCATCTTCTTTTTTTCAATTGTTTGAAATCATCCGACATGTAAGCTTTATAAATGTTCTTTCTTTCTTTCAATTCTAAGCTGACCTTATTTTTTCGATATTTTTACGGTTTTTTTTACAAAAAGGAACATTTTGCAGCAAATTTCAAAAACGTAATCAATGTTATGTTGAAAAATTAGAAAATTGTGAAACTTTATTATTTTTGTTGTATGAAAAAAATTAAATCTTATACAAGCAATTTGTTTGAATGACTTTTATTATTGTTAAATTATAATGATAAAACCCAAAGTAAAAATATCATTAAATGCCAATCATTCTAAACTTAATGAGTTTCAAAATTTTTTCAGAAAATTATTTTGATCACTCTAGATGTAAAAATTGTGTTTATGTTTGTATTTGGGTGTATGTGTGCGTTTGTGTGTTTTGTATTTGTTTGTGTGTGTATGTGTGTGTGAATCTTCGTGTATGTGTAATTAAGCTGCTGTCTGTCATATTGTATAAACATTTACTTATCTCGCGATAAAACGCCGAATAGTCAATACGGAGTAACATGCCTGCATTTGTATGCTAGCTATCTTATTCATTTTTATCGTCATTATTATTGTTATTATTATTATTGTTGTTGTTTCACTTTGATTGTTTTTTTTATTATTTTACTTTGTCGTTGAATCGATTTATTTTTGATTTATTTCCTTTTTAAGAGATAATCCTTCTTTACACATAACGTTCATCTGCGTGGTTGTATGTGACTTTAAGTAATTTGCAATACAAATAAATGCATCTGTGTGTGTGTGTGTATTTATATGTGTTGGTTTTCATAAGAGTGTAGTTTCATATACATGTGCGTGTGTGTACGTGTGCGTGTGTGGTGTGTATATATATATATATATATATGTGTGTGTGTGTGTTTGTGCGCGTGTGTGTGTAAGTTTCTTTGCAATAGCAAACAAGGCCGGAAACAGCGCGACAACATAACGATACCAATAAATATTTGCAGCTTTACGTATGCGACGTTAGCAAATCAGATGGGCTGAATGAAATCTGCTTATTTGAATTTGTATTGGAAATGTTTCACTAACTCTTGCTAGCAATTTAATTAATCGTTTTTCTCAATATTTATTTTAAACACTTGTTTTGTTTCACAAAGAAATTTCAAAGAAGCTTTTAAGCATAATTTTTTTGTTTTTCCTAGAGTTAAACTTGTTGACAATTTAAAGAAAGAATGTTCAGATTTTATGCTTTGCATTTTTTATTTTTTTATTTAAAAGTTTGATTACTCTTCCTTTTTACCCTTGCAGATGATATCAACTTGAACAATTTGTTACAATTTTTAAAATTGTTGAAGACTGTAACTAATTTTTAACTCATATAAAATTGATAATAGACTTAAATTAATGTGATTTTGATAAAATTTTGAGTTTGTTTGAATTATAACAACAAAGTTTTTTCTATAAATGTAGGCCTATGTTGAATTCATTTGTATATAATGTAAACATATGTTAATGTTCAAGTTAAATAACAAAATTTGAACACTTGTGAAGCGCCTGAAAACTTGTTTCAAAATGATGAGTCTATAACATGATTTGAAATTACTGCAACATGAAGACAGTGCGTCTAACCGGAAGTAGCTATTTAACGTTAGGAACAAAACAGCAAGGATCGGTGTTTGCTATTGCTAGGTGGTCAAACAACCTGCCTAGGACCAGTATAATGTAACGGTGAGGTCATTGCTTAACACGAGATTAAACAAATATGTGTAGGGGTCAGTTAGCATTGCTAGGATTTTGATTGTGACTGCAGACCAGTACAACATTAATACAGGAGCTGGAGGACTGGAGCGTGGGCGTTAGTGGAGAATGAAAGAGCAAATGTGAGGTTAATAAGAAACAGGAGTAAACAAATATGACAAAATTATTTGTTTTTAGAAATTATTACTACGATATTTTAAATAGTACATATGCAATCGCATTTATAAATCGATTCGAAATGAACAAACAATACAAAAGTGCTTAACGTTTTATTTTATAAAATGTGTGGTCAGACATTTCAAACGCGGACGACAACGCATTGAAAACAAATAACAAAAAAATTGGTTGCACCTGGAATTCATTATGTGCCTAAGTACGTTTTAAAGACGCACGTACAAGTATGGCTGATTTAACTTGTGTATGTGTATAAGTGTGTGTGTGAATATGTTTGAGTGTGTGTCGGTGATTGTATGTATGGTTAATGGTACGTGTGGGTGTACATAAACTTTATATGAAAATATATACGTGTGATTGCGGAGATAAGTTTGATAATATTTTAGAATCGTCAAAACAAATTCACGAACTGGTAAGGTCCAGTTGAAATAATTCAAACCAAAATTGTGGCCTTGAAACTTTCATCTGGTGATGGCTGGGGTATTTGACAGAAATTCGCAACATTAAACGTAGTTTACACTTAACGTTGAAGAGATGTAATGTTCAATAATCAAAACCTGCATTTTTGCATTTTAAAAAACTCTAAAGGCAGTTGAACAACATGCATCACGATTAAAAAAAAAGTGGAATAACACAAACTAGACCACAGACTGCATGCAAGCAATATTCTTTGCAATCATCTCATCGCTCCCCGAATAATTCAATAAGTTGCAGTTCGAAAAAGAACTTTCATTAAATTTTTGCTAGTAAAGCTCCGAAGACAGTTTAAAAATTAATGAACATAAAGAACAATGTATAAAAAAGTTAAAAAAAAATATTACTAACATTCATATTTTAAGTCTCTTCAATAAAGTAAAATTAGTTATGCAATTACTAATACTTTAACAGTTACTCACTGGTAAATTCTTGTAGTAGTAGTAGTGGTAGTAGTAGTAGTAGTAGTAGTAGTGGTAGTAGTAGTAGGTAGTAGTAATGTTTTTATGTGGTAGTTAGTAGCTAGCAGCATCATTTTTAGAGCTAATTTCATTTCTCTTTTCAGGCTCTCTTCTTTTTCCATCTTTTCCATCATTCTCCTTTGTTTGCGGTGGTTCATAATTAATGTCTAACCATGTTTCTCATACTATGTGCGTATGTGCGTGTGTGTACACGTGTGTGTATGTGTGTGTACACGCGCGCCTTTGTGTGTGTCTGTGTGTGCGTGAAAATTTTTGTATGTGTCTGAGTGTGCGTTTTAATTTAAAACAGTTCGCGAGTATGTTTTTGTGATTTCACGTGCACATTTGTGAATGTTGTGTACGTGTAACTCGAGTAATTTTACGTCGGGAAGATGGAGAGATTGGTGATGATTATTATGATGAATATGATGAAATAGATAATGATAGAAATGACGAATATGAAAAAGATGATGATTAAGATGCGGGCAACAAGAATGATAACGATAAGGACGTCACAACAGTTTTAATTAATTTTGAATTGGACTATAGAAGCAGGTAAGATTAATTAAACCATAAAACTGATGACCCTATCATTGCCATTTCTATCATTCTATAATTTTTTGTTATTTTATTATAATGATAATTATTTTTATTTTAAATTAACAAATACTGTTATCATTTTATTTTAATTAAAATAACTCCTCCCGTAATAGTATTTTTAGTATTTTCGTTGATTTTAATTAGTAGTATTGCTTAAAAAATCACAGAGCTGAATAATAATTTGACTTCACTATATCAAAATAACTCAAAATGTTTACAGTGTCAAATTTATTGATTGTTGCGTCATTTTTTTATGTCATCAATATCCTTTGATGATTGCTGATTGGCTGATAGCAACGATGACGTCAATCAAAAAAAAAACCATAAAATCTTTGCAGTCCAGGCTTCCTTCTTCAGCACAACCCAGCCCTGCAAACTTTTTCGGTATATCTTTAGTAAAGCTAAATTCTTAGACTGCGGTTTCAACATGGTTTGATTTAAGATGAAAAAGTATTTAGATTTCAACATATGAACATGTAATGGTTCATTCTTCTTTATCAACGATTGGTTATGATAGGCGAGTCTCCTTGCATTGTAACATTGGGCCAAGAGCTTTTAAATTTGCAATTATACTATAATAATTAACACAATTATTATAACTCATTACAAATTACATAATTATTTTATTTTTATTATTTAATGTAATTACTGTTACAGTCGAAAATAACGGTAGACACAAAACATAAGATATCATAATAGGAAATATGGAATAATAGATTTTCTTTCATGCAACAAAGTACCACACATTTAAATCCTATTAAATTTTAATTTATATACACTACCAGAGCATTTGATGACAGAAAAAATTAAAAATGTCACAATTAAATTAAAATAAACTTTACCAATTTGAACCATGCATTCATCATTTTTCACTTTTTAAACACTTCAAAATCATTGATAAACAGTTAGTAAATTAATCAAAAGAAGCGACAAGCAGTCAACCAACCAGCCAGTCAACCAACCAGCCAGTCAATCAACCAGCCAGTCAGCCACATGAGTATAATAGGCTCTCAAATTTCACCAAAGCCAATCGTGAAGCAAGTGGTTGGCACCAACAACCCCGTATATCCACCCTCTCCAGACATCGATCACTTGAACAAGGAGGAAATTGATGCACTTAAGAAAGTTTTTTCTAAGATGGAAGAATTCGAGCACGAAGAATCCGAAAGAATAAGGTTTTAATATTTAATTTAAGTTTATTTAGAGCAAGATTTCACTTATTTAGAATTTAATTTACCATGTTTATGGTAAATTGTTCTATGTTGTTAGAAATTATCGTGACTTTGTAATTTCAACGTTTTTAACACACCTTCAATATTAATTCAAAACCTGATTTTGAATGTTTTTTAGTCTTGTATAGGATCATTGAAGTTTAATGTTTGTTTTTACGATGCATCAGTCCGACAGAATGGAAAATTCAAACCCGTTGCATTCAGACTGGTGTTAAGCGCGCCTTTTAAGGAATTAACCGGAAAATTTAATTGAATAATTTTATAGGTACTAACCACTAAAGCATTGTTTAAAAATATAAAAAGCTAACCAGTCAAACAATCAATTAAGCAAACAAACTATCAACCATCAACCAGACAACTCGAAGAAAAAGTGAGAAAATATGAAGAAATGGTGAAGAGTGAAACAGCGAATCGCGGGAATGCCCTGAAACAAAATGACATCAGGTTGTGTCGTCTCTGCTTCGTCAACAGGTTCCTAACATCCTTTCCACTTGTTACAGTTTCTGTTACTATATTTTAAATTTTAGCCATTCCATGAAGCTGTGATTGTGACGGTATTGTTACCATCGCTCTTTATATTTATTTTAGCATTTATATTTTATTTTTGACCTGTTCTGTTTATAAAATTTTGTTGTAATACAAATTCTACCAGCAACAGTCTTTGTATTATTTTAGTTATATAATCAATGGCGGATCTAGACAACATTGACGGGGGGGCCAAAATTTTCACGGGGGCCCAGATTTGTGGTACTGTGGCTGACGACCTTTTTTTGGTCGATTTTATACATAAAAAGATCATTTTTTCGGAATTTCATTAAAAATCTGCTCACAATAGAGACTCTGTTTTATAGATATTCGTCACAGGATATAATTTATTTTAAAAAAACAATTCTACAACGTTCAACGTTCATTCTAAAACAGTTTGGATATTTTTTTAAAATTTTCTAAATCAAACTCTGACAAACGCGGAAAATGCAAGGTATGAAACATCGAAAAGAAAAAGAATTTTGATTTTTAAAAATATTAACTGCACTAAGTAAAAGTATAATAGAGTTAGGTTAGGTCTATATTTCCAATGAAATATTCAAATTGCAAAACACAACCTTCCCAGATTCCCAGACGGCATAGGTCGTGTCTGTGTTTCGTGTCATCGCAGGGTTTGCAACGATTGCGGTTCGCTCAGCAAGTCCAAATCTTCTCTCGCTGCTACTACCTCCGTCAGTAGTTTTAACAAGGTAATAAAATTTTTTGCTCATCAGTAATTTTACTATTTTGGTTAGTAATAATACTAAATTATTATTTTAAATTGATAATTTATTTCTCTGTTGAAAACGTTTAAATAATTACTAAGCCGATTAATAATTAAAATTACTAACTGTACTAATAATTATAATTTGCATTAACTAATACTATATTATTAAAAATGTTGATACGCTAACAATTTTAAAATTTCTTAACTCACATAAACTATCTGACGATCAATTCTTGTCGCAAAAGACGCAAAAAGTGTTGGAAATCATAAAAAACTACGCTTTTCAGATTCTCTTGATGAGTCGATGACATGATTCAAAAAACATTTTAATTTAATTACATAAATTTTTTTACTCAAATTTTCCTTGCCTCAATGAACTATTTTTCTGGTTGGGGCCAATAAAGTTCAGTTTTACTTTAAGATAATTAACAATTATTCAAATGTAAATGAAATGAATAAAATATTAAAATTAAAAAATTTTAGAATATGCAAGAATGAAATATCTGGAAAAAACAGAAACTGGCTAAATAAATGATCACAAAATAATTTTTCACTATTAAGGAGCGGCTTTGTTTGGCTGCTATATTTTAACAGAAGCACACAGGTAGTTCGGCAGCATTGATGCAGTAGTCCATTTCACGGACACAAACATCTAAGAATACAAACAACCACGTATACAAACAACTACGGATACAAACAACCACGGATACAAAAACTCACGGATACAAATATCCCCAGATAGATACAAACATTCACACCAGCCAGATAAAAATAAATGTACATATATTCGACGAACAATGACTCTTGAAACGTGCACACAAATAATAAAAATATTTATGAGGGTTTATTATATTCAGAGACAAATTTACAGCAAATAAGAACAGTAAACCTATCTATACGAGGATAACATGCATGTGATTTATATTTATATATTTTTATATTTATATATTTTTTTAAACATTTGGGCAAGACACGTTCACACAATATATCTTCACACTCATAAATGAAATACTCTAAGCAAACACCACACAAACACACACACACAAACAAACACATACACACAAACACAGGCACGCACGCACAAACACACGCGCATGAGCAGACGTCTTTGATGGAGCATAAAAATGAATTTTCAACAAGTGCAGAGCGCTTTTAATTAAATTGGATAATGATAGGAGCATGGCGCTCTTGCAAGGAAAAGAAATTGAAGATGAGATGTCGTTAAAGGAGATGGTGACGATGATGAAGATGTGATAATGGGACTAGTGATGGAGATGATGATGATGCGGCTAGTGATGAAAATGATGATGATGTGGCTAGTGATGAAAATGATGATGATGTGGCTAGTGTTACCGTTAGAATGACAATGATGGTGAGATGATGGTGACGACGATGATGATGGAAGGGATGTGTACAACGTTTTTTTCTCCATTCATTTAATCAGTCTTCAAAACAAAATGCAACACGCCTAGGTTGACACTGATGGTGTAAGAAACAAATTGTTACTATTTGTGATGGTGGTGATGATGTACTTGCATTATTATGATGATTAATATGATAATGACAGAAATGAAAGTGGGCGCAATGCAATGGAAACTATAATAACCAAAAATATCATTGGCACCACAGTTAGCTGATATAAGAAAAACTGATTTTAATGATAAATGTATGGGTGAAGATATTGTTTGGGTATTGTTTGTTAAACGTTGTTGTTGTTGCTATAGTTTCAATAATGCCAAAGTTAGGAGATGAAAAAATACGATTGTAAGAATGATTGTTGCAATTATAAATTAATGGAATAAAAACAAGCCTCAAAAATGTTTTTATTGAAATAAAAAATAATTTTTATTAATGCATCAGTACTGAAAAAACACTGACATCGATTTCTAGTCAATTGCCTAGCAGGGCAAATATATCATATGTTGAAAATAGCGATTTTCTGTTTGTGTTTACATGTATACAAATCAAAGATTGTGTCGTACGTTTATCTGTATATCAGTTATTAAATTGTATTTTGGGTTAAATAAATGAAATTTGTAACTATTTCTGAGAAATATGCTTTTTTTTATAGTAATTTAGTCATGGAAGAGGTAGTTTGGAATATTCAATTTAGAACAGATTTTAATGCAACCTCGTGAAAATACACCCACGCAAAAAAGGTGGAGACTTATAACGGCAGATGTCGCCCTGTTAAACATTCTCTATATCGATTGTAGTGCACCTCAAATAGTAAGAACAAACTCCTTAGGACACGAACTAGGTTATTGTGCTTCGTGCTTTCTGCGTTTTTCCTTCTTTCTCCTTCTTTCTCCCTCTCATCTCTCTCTCTCTCTCTCTCTCTCTCTCTTTCTCTTTCTCTCTTTCAGTGGTATCTCTCTGTGCGTGGGTTCGTAAAAAAGGAGTGACTATTTTCAAATTGTTAATAATTTTTCAATGATGGACTCTATTCCACTCCAACTGCTATTATTAACTATACCACTTTACTAATCTTACCATTTTTACTACTGCTACTACTGCCACTTCTACTACTACTACGGCTAGTACTATGCAGCAGCAGCACCACTAGCAGCTGCCGCTGATACTATTTTTATTACCACGACTACCACTACTATATACTACTAATTTTATTACCTCTAGCAGCACTAATACTACAACTACTAATGTCATAACCATCATCGTCATGGTTGTCTTTGTTGTCGTAAATGAACCGTTATCACCATCACTGACGTTCGTAGCGACATTCAAATTAATTAGTTAAAAAATCGGAAATTTAAAAAAATTGTTTGAAAACATATATCTGCAGTTTTTAGTAAAATGACAGTTGATTAAATCGGCAACCTAGGTTTATAAATTTTTAACTCATCCACTACCCATCCATTTTCCACCCATTCATTCATCTATTCGTTCATCCATATGTTCATTCATCCATCCATCCATACATCTGTCTATCTATCTATCCATCCATCTGTTCATCCAACCATATTTTATTCAGCTTGTTTAAAAATTTAAATGCTAAAAATTTATTACATGAGACTTAATCGCCAATTTGATTGGAAATAGATCCACCGTCTACAAAAAGTAACATAAAGCCTCCCCAATTACTTCGGTTAATACAACCTCCATAAATACTAAAATACCATCACGGCTACACTACTTTTCATTGCTTAACTACTATCGTTATTAAATTTATTTATTGTTTTCACAACTCTTAAATTAACATTATTTTTTACAAATTCTATAATTTAATTACTAATGAGAAATTTAATTGTAGGCCTTGAATATTTGACTGCCTGCCATGTCAGCTGGAGCGATTCTGCAAGAACATGAGTTTGCCATTAGTACAATTATTCTGCAAGTGCCTTTAATGACATTTAATGACATCAACATGCGCAAAACATCAATTTCAATATCGATTTTATCATCGTCGTCATCGTTGTTGTTGCTGTCACATCATTCCATCATCATCAAATCATCGCCGTCTTCCTCCTCATCGTCAAATCATCTTCATCACAATAATCAGTTTTGTTGTCATCATCATCGTCGTCGTCGTCTTCATATCATTGTACTAGTACTAATCACCATCATTATCATCGTCATCGTCATATCATTTTACTCATTCACTATCATAAATTTTATTCTTATCAGGTCACCATCATCAGAGTTGGCACTGCTTTGCTAACCTGCATTCTTCCATTATGTATATTTTGTTTCATTTCAGCAAATTCAGCGTCAGCAATAAATCTTTTACTTTATTTTATTTCGTTAGTTTGTTTTGCATTGATTCAGTTATAGCTATTTTTAGATACTTTCTTTAATTATTTTTTAATTGTTTTCCTTTTTCAATTTCAATTAAAATGGAATTATAGTTGTTTTATAAATTAAGTTTAAAGATATAATTTCATTTAATATAGCAAATAAAATAATATATAAGAAAAAGAATTAATCATTGAAAAGATCGTTGAACCCAACAAACTAATTCTTCCATTGTTCATATGAAGTGAATGAATAGAGGGCAAAATAACACTAACAACAACAATAGCAACGACAAAATCATTTTATAATAAAAACCGCTATTATACAACAACAACAACAACAACAAACAATAAAAACTTCAAAACACTAATAATAGGCACAACAAAACAGCAAAAATGTCAGCAGCAGTGACACAACAACAAAAAAGGTTTGAAAATTTTCAATAAAAACAAAAACATCAACAACAACTTTAACATAAGTTGACGTCTGAACGCGAAGTACATTAAAAATCAAATGAAATCCTAAAAGTTGTAATCAGCGAATGTGCTAAAGTTGAGTGGACCTTATTTTTTGTTACCAATTGTTCTATTTTATTTGTTTATCAACCAAACGCTAACAACTTGTTTTTTTTATCGAATTGCTTATTTGTGAAAGACATTTTGACGAGATGAGTTTGATTGACGGTATAATTAAAACGCTTTGAAATTATTTCATTGTTCCCGGTTGTTAGCGGTTACACTTTCGTTATTTGACATATTTGAATATTTCAAGTGATGGTTTTGTTGTCACTATTGACGTTCTGTAATTCGCACTGATAATGTTGTTGTTGTTGTGTTGGTATGTTGGCTGTTTGGGCTGTCGCTGTTTATTTATCACTGTTATTGATGTTATTGTTGTTGATGTAAATTGATGTTGTTGTTTTGTGCCGGGTGTTATGTTGTTTTTGTGTTGTTGTTGTTGTTGCAGCAACTGCTGATGTTGCAGCTGATGCTGTCGTTGCTGCTGTCAATGTTGATAATGTTGTTGTTAACCTGTTAGATAGGGAGTAAGGCCGTTGAACTGAACGCATTATCTCTCAATGATACTTCAACTGGAAGTTTAAAAAAAATTTTTTCACTCTCTCTACTGCGTTTTTGATTAAAATAAATTAGACTTGAATAAAATGAAATAAAATAAAATAAATAACGAAAATGAATGAAACATTAACATAACATAGAAATAATAAAACTTCTTTGTTAGTTTTAGTGAATAATGTTATTCATGTTTCGAAATACAGTGCACGCGTGTTGTTATGCAGGCTTGCACAAGCATCAACATTATTTATATTTACTCGCCACACCTACATAACACACAAGCACGTGCTCACAAACAGAGAGTTGAACATGTTCAAACACACGCCACACACACGCACTCGCACACATATACACGTACACAGACACACACAAGCGTGCGTGCACACAAAAGTATACAATTTTATAGTTGAAAATTATCAAAATACATAAAACGCATTCCGTGGCATGCAAACGATTTACATGCAAATAAGCTGGCAATCATA